AACGGGTGAAAATTTCATGTCATTAGCACCTCTAGTAATATATTTACTGAGAAAAATGGTGACGTGTTCAATACTTATGTTTTCCGCTGTACATCAAAAAGTTTTTCTGTTTGAATACTCTTGATAAAAAGCCATGCAACTTTAGCGCCGTACTGCATCCAGAAAGTTTCTCCGTCTTTTAACGCAGCCCGCAGAAACGTAGCTCAGCGTCGTTCCGATCAGCACTTCGACGGTTCCGCGTGGCTGCRACGTCACTTTTTCATGAAGTGAGACATGACGTCTATGGGCAGCGGGAAGATGATGGTGGAGTTCTTCTCCGCCGCGATGGTGTTGAGGGTCTGCAGGTAGCGGAGCTGCAGGGCCGACGGGGACTCCGCAATCACGAGGGACGCCTCTTTCAGGGCGCGGGACGCGTTCATCTCCCCCTCTGCTGCGATGACCTTCAGCAGGAAGGAGATAAAGTTAACACAGAGCATAATCGTCTTCACTTTTGTTCATTTTCTTTGGAGCTTGTGTTGCACTTCCTGACCTTAGCCCTGGCCTCTCGTGCTGCCTCTGCTTCAGCAGCCATGGCCCTCTGCAGCTGAATGGGCAGTTTCACATCTTTTATCTCCACACGCTCCACCTTGATGCCCCAGTTGTCTGTCGCTTCATCCAGGCTGGACTGGAAACGGACACAAAGAGGATTGATCGGCTTGTAATTAAATGTGTGATTTATCTCGGGGTCTTTGTTGTGCATCCAGAAAGACGGGTATTGTTCCGCTCACCACCGACATGAAATGTACACTCAAGGCATACAATTCGAGATTGAAAGAAAACTAAGCCAACCAAACAAAGCTGTTTTTCTTTTTAATTTGGCACAAACACCTAGAGAAATCTAATTAAATCCAGGAGCAGAAAAGAACACCTTTATCAACAAGAGAATTCTATCCTCGAAAAATAATGTCTTCAACACACAAGCATTTCCACAAATACCAAATTTGCTGAAGCCCAAATGTCCCACGTAATGTTGTGAATAAATACCTGCATGCTGTGAGCGATACCCTCGCGATCAGACAAGAGCTCAGCCAGGTTCTTGGTACCCAAAACGTTTCTGAGGGTGGTCTGAGCCAGCAGGCGGGTGGAAAAGTCGGCATTAGTCACGTTGGCTACAGAGGCGATGGGGTCACTGACACGGAAGTACACCACTCCATCCACGCAGACGGTAACAGAGTCCTTAGTCAGGATCTWGAATAGAAATATACATTCTAGTTAATGCATGGCTGTGGATTTTTACAGAAGTGTTAGAAGGTTGTAAATGTTCTGCAAATGTGTTTTGTTCTGGGCCACCTGCCTCTTGTGGTGGGATGTCAAAAGAAACAGTTCTCAGATCCACTTTCACAATAGAATCAGTGCATGGCAAAATGAAGAAAATTCCTGTTTAGAAAAAGGGGAAGAAAACAGTTTTTTTTTTTAATAAAATGATACTTTTTGTGTAAAAGCTACCAGAAAAAAAACAAATAAAAATTCTTCACCTGGTCCTTTGGCCTTACGGTCTGTGATGCGACCCAGTCTAAAGATGACGGCCCGCTCGTACTCCTGAACAATCTGTACCAACCAACACAATTTCACTTTCAAAGTTGCATTAAATGAAGCTGTGGCTTTTCTTTGTATCAAGCTCAGGAATCAACACACCTTCAAACAAAACCAGATTGTGAGGGGGAACAGTAAAGCTGTGAAGATGCCGGAGAGAATGACGATGAACCAGCCGATGCATCCCAAAGACCCGGAGCGTGTCTCAGCTGGAGGACGAGAGAGAAAATGTRTTTTTGAAAACATTTGACAAAAATCTTGTTAATTAAAAGAATGAGCTATAACTAGATTTACATTTAGGTTTGSTGCTCCAGGACACATGAATGGCATAATAGAAACTAGAAGATCCTCTCATGTGAAAGTAAACCTAAATTTTAATCATAAAGAAATGCCCTAATGGAGCACAGCGGTTCCGGTTCAGTGGCAGCTTTAAATAAAAAAAGGTAAATAAAAGGTGTGTCAATAAGTATATTTTCATTGAGATCATAACAGATCAGCAGCAGCTTTCTCACAAAGACTCGTGCAAAGTGCAAACAGAAACGTTTGCTTATGCAACATGATCTCTAGACTACGGCTGATAATATAAAAAAATGGGGAGAGTTCGTGTTTAGTGCTGTGGCGTCATTCTCAACTCCAACCTTCTCATTTGGTGCATTTCCACTTAATGAGCCATTAAGACCTTACAGCTGATATCTGAGCAGAGACAATATGCTGATCAGTGTCAGTGGAAAATCTGTTGTGTTTCTTGTGCATTTCTGTGCACTTTAGACACATCCAAACCAAAACCACACTTTTTTTTGTCTATAAGCTGAAACCACAGTTCAACAAAGGGAAACGGCTTCCTGTTGATCAACTGGGGTAAATTTCAGAGTTGCAGCAGAAACAGAACCTTGCGAAATCCATTTCTAACCGCCTGGCATGATTTTTTTCCCCCCTTAATATTTAACTAAATAAAACAATGAAGTCAAAGTCGGTTAAGGCCATATTATGGCTTTGTTGTTATTTTGGCCAACAAAATTCAGATCCCTGAAATGAATTAGTTTCATAASGGCAACTTTATGAAACAAAAGTTTGGTTGAGAATCTAAGTAACCAATTTCAGTCGTAAAAGCAGTGTAGATTAAAGTGTAAATGAAAAGCAGCCCTTATCAAAGGATCATTTACATGCACGTGAGTCAGACTAAAACATCAGCTCTATCTTTTTACTTTATAAAACTGTAAGTACTCATAAACAATCTTGCTCATGTGCTTTTGGGACCGTTTCTATTTTAGACATGTGATTTTTGTTACCAGGACAATGGAGTTATATTACAGGTGGTTGATTTCTAGCTGCACTTGTGCTCTTATTTAGACACTCAATGTAATAAACTCCTGCTTTCATAACAAGATAAGCTAAAAACTTTGATTCAAGGATGAGTAAATAATCACTTTATTTTATAGAAACCCCAAACTCCTGGGGATAACTGTAGTAATACCACAGGTAGATCATGTTTAAGCTCAAAATACTACCACTAATAATAAAAAGGTTTAACTTACATATTAGGTTGTCTTTGCTGCTTACTCCTTTCCTCCTTTGGCTTTCCATCTGGTCCTCCATTTCCATCCGTGGGTTAAAGCTGAGTGTTTTCCCCGGAAATGTAAGAGAGATTGCTCGAAGGGGAACTAATTGAGAGGATGTGATCCAGCCTTTTAAAGCAACATTGCAGCAATATAATGTGGTTTAATGTGTAGGTGTGGCCATGGCTCTGAGCTGATCATCAACAGAGTACAAGCTTCATAATCTCCACAGGTTCAAGAGCACTCGAGGTTGTAAAAGAGTTGAATAAAACATGTATGTTATGTATGGCCACAGAAAAAAAAACTTTCCTTTATATTTTGCTTGGTTTAAATTAATCCAGAATATAAATAATATAGAATTGAAATAAAAGACTGTTTTAATTCTACCTTTTCCTTCCTCGTTCATTTTTCACAAAGAGAACACCCTCTGAGTCTTAACATGGGGAAATAAAATCTCTTTGATTAAAATGTATTTTACTTTCACTTTGTACTGAAAAGAACTATGTCATCTTTCTCTACTTCTACAATTTAGAGCAAGTTCCTGAGATTCAAAACTTTGGTTTGTGGCAAAAGAATTATATATATTTTTTCTGTTGTATTAGTCCAGGGGCCAAACAAGATGTCGATATAAGAGGACCAAATAATAAGTTCCTAAATGTTCATGAGGGCAACGGGAAAGTATTTATATATGATAACTTTTTTATTATAGAAATTTAATGTTTTATTTTAAAGAGAAGTTGGTGCACACCTCAATTGAATGTTGTTAAAGTTTACATTTTTAGGCAGCTAGAAGTTTCTAACTAAAGGTCTGTGCCTGTTGATGGCATTTAAGCAGCCATTTTGATTATTTTGCTATAGGTATCACATGTAAGTATTTTATTTCGTAACAAAACTCATTTTTTACATAATTCAGGCATGGATGTTGAATGAAGTGGCCAGTTTTGTAATTTGAGCATGATATTAATGCATAAATTGAGATTAAATGCCAAAATACTAAAATTATAATAGCTGAAATGTATAAAAAGATATGCTTTGCCACTCTTAAATTTATTGTAATTTCCTCTTATACTAGACACACACACACACACACACACACACACACACACACACACAC